CCAAACTCGTGGCTAAGCCCCCACCCTGCCCAGTTACCCTCCTCCTCACCGCCACACGCCCGCCCAGTAGATCACGAGTTGGGAATAGACTCTTCACCAGCTAAGCTAATGGACGGCCGCACGGATTGGCCTGAGGTTTGGAGCCCAGACTAAGTACCCCCGTGACTTCCTTTCGGGGGGGCTTTACATCCTGGAGAAGCAAGCCTTAGGCAGCGGGGTGTCTGTGCGGTGAGTGTGGGGAGTCTCTCGGGAGGGAGCTGTATATGCCCTGCAGGACAAGCAAGCAAATGGGAAGATAGAGAGGTGTGGACACAGTGGGTAACTTAGGCCCAACAGCTACAGGGCAGGGCCGCCAACATGGCCACGCATCCAGCTTCCAGGGAGCACTAGGGCCATGGCACAAGTGGGTCTGTGTCTCTAGCGGGAGAGCAGCCCGGCGTGGGTGCTGAGCTCTTCATGCTTCTGGGGGGCCTTGTGCATTCAGATCCTGAGAGGGAGCCATGCAGGTGTGCGCCCCTTCTTTGTACTTGGAGCAGGAGCAGAAGGCACGTGGGCACTTGTTGCCCTGGAGACAGCAGGGTAGTGTGGCGGGCTAGGGCGGGGGGGGCTGGCACACGGCAGGCCCGGTCCTGAGCCCTGCACAGCTGTGCTGGTGTAGCCAGGAGATGCTTCGTTTACAGGTGGGAAGGACAGGACACAGAAGGCCCAAAGCCATCCTGTGCCATTGGCAGTGTCATTGCCCTTCAGCCACACAGCTCCCAGCCTTCCAAGCACAGGGACCCCTTGCCTAAGGCCGTGCAGCCCCCGGACAGCGCCCCACCGAGGCGCTGAGGTCCCTGGACCTCAGACCTCCACCAGCTGCCCAAGCCCCCGTGTCAGATCTGGGAAGAGGAACACTGTGTGTGACGCGGCCAGACCCAGAAGGAAGCAGGAAACAGAGTGATGCGGAATCAGGGGGCTGTGAGGGCCAGCACTGTGGGCAGTGAGCACCCAGTGCCCAGGTGTAAGGGCTCTAACACGTCGCCGAGGGCAGGGACTCCAGGCCCAATGGAGGGAGTCCAGAGGTGGCCTGGAGACATCAGAGTGCACCAGAAAATAAGGCAGCTTTCTTCATCCTCCTCCTCCTCCCGAATCTGCTTCTGCTTCTTTTCATCCTTGCAGTACTGGGGGACTTTGCACCGAGCTACATCCCTAACCCTTTTTATATTTGATTTTGAGACAGGGTCCCCCTAAATTGGCTAAGTCGCCTAAGCTGGGCTCAAACTTGTGATCCTCCTGCCTCAGCCTCCCACAGTGCTGCGCCACCACTTCCCGCTGGCAAGGAAACTTTCAAAGACTAAGAGGTGCGTCAGGGAGATGCAGGAGCCAGTAGAAGACGGTCCCCCTGGCCGAGTGGTGACAACTTCAGCATCACAGAAGAGAAAGAAAACAATCAAAGTCTTGCTGTCTCTTATAGAGATTATCCCACTAGCTTCTGAGTCTGAAAATAGATGAGACAGATTAAGTACTCGTGCTGGCACAGGAGGAGCTGTAATTGAGCTGGAGAATGTTCCCAGCAGAGAAGGGAGCTGCTGCCCAGAAGGATGCTAGGCTTGACCTGCAGAAGAGACGGCGGCTTAGGAAATCACCATTTGTAACCCCAAGTGACGCGACCACTGCCACCAACATCCCCATAGACTGCCTGATGATCCCCGATGGGGGGTGTCAGGGCTGCAGCATGGGGAGGACCGACGGCCAGTCCTGGAGTCCCCAAGAATCACGCTGTGCTTTCTGGTGGCCTCTAAGACATTCTGGGCCAAAAGTCTAACCCGGGTCTCATTAGACTGGATTTTGATGTCACAAGCCCTTCCCGTGCCATCCCAAGCGATAGCGTGCGCAAAGCCAAGAGAAAACAGATCAGAAGCTTTGCTGCTCCGTGCACCACCCGGCCCGGCCCGTGCCACAGTCGAGGTCACGAAAACAAAGTGCCGGTGGGTTGTCTCAGTCTGTTTGGTGTTGCTGTAACAAAACGCTGAGGCTGGGTAACTTACAGAGTGGTTTCTTTGGGTCATGGTTCTGGAGTCTCAAGAGAGCGGCACCGGCATCTTGACAAGAGCCCCCTGGCTTTGTCACAGTACTGAGGAGAATGAGAAAAGGAAACCAGCCGTGCACAGAAGGGGCCAAGCCGTGGGTGACCAGCCTGAGTCCCTTCCAGGGACTGTGCCTGTGATCCCATCACCTCAACTAGGCCCAAGCTCTAAGGTCCCCTGACACTGGGGACCAAGTCCAGCCCTGGAGCCCTGGGAGATGCTTAGACCCCTCCGAACCACACAGCGGAGCTCCTTCTAGATGCGAGGTCACATAAGTGGTTCGAGACCACCCTGTCCGTGCATGCAGATCCTGTGGCAGTGAAGGTCACATGGGGACTGCCAGGCACATGTGAATACGGACGGCTAATCAGCAGCACTAGGGAGTATTGTTCATTTTGTTAGCTGTGGATAGGTTTTTAACCATTATATAAGAAAATGCCATTTAAAAAATAAATCTAAGAATGTTTGGGGGAAGATGTCACAGAGACAGTAACTTATCTGCAAGCAATTCAGAAATAAACTGATGAAGAGAATGTTAGTAGCCATCTTGGATAGCAGAGAGACCCGGGCTCCATACTCGCTTGAAGTTCTTCCTGATAGCTAAAAAACAACAATTTTTACTAAAATCTTGCACATAGCAGGGGAGGACTCAGCTGGAGAGATCACACCGTAAAGAATAAACAGGAGCTCACTACACAAAGCAGTTACCACCCTTCCGTGAGGGGCCTGAGATTCCACAAGGGTTCAGGGGTACCGGGTCAGAGGACAGAAGCCCCAGGACGCCCACCTCAGGCAGCACTAATCCTGTGATCCAGTCAGCTACCCAAAGCTCCGCCTCTGAACACATGTGGCTTTGGGAGACAGTTTAGATCTAAACAAGGTGGATGCAGGGTGGGACATGCTTGGGGCTGCCCAGCTGCGGGGCTCTCCCAGGAGCAGCACCTGTGTGGGGACCCAAGTGGGACCAGCTGGCTTCCTCCTGCGCGTGCCCGACCCCAATGTCACTCCCAGCTTGCTTTGTGCCCTCAGCCGTGGCTGGAGAAAGAGCTGAGGCTCCAGGGAGCTGTTTGTAGATGCGATGCCATCCCACAGGGAGCACACACAGGAGCCTGGTGTCTTCACTCAGGCTGAGGTCAGCCTGGCACAGGAGCTGGCAGGGGCTGACACCTTCCCGGGAGAACATGGATTCTCACCAAGCACCCTGTCAGAGCCCCTGCTTCTGCTCCCCTTACGATGGAGGACTTACAAATGGGGTCCTCCAAGAGATTTCTGCTCACACCCACCTCACCCTCAGATGGACCCACAGGAAGATCCAGTCCAAGCTGAGTCGGCCCCTGTGGGGTCTCCAGTGTCCGCTCAGAACCTCCCAGATGCACCCGATTGGATGGGGGGGTGAACACCTGACCTAAGCTCAGCCAATCAGAATCCCTGGCCCAGTCTTTGGTCATGGGATAGAGAAAGCTGTGAGTTCCGGCCTGCGGCTGGCATTGATTAGCTCTGGCCATAGCAGGGGATGGGGCTGCAGAAGCCAGCCAGGCTGCAAAGGAAGAAACAAAGCCAAGGGCTCCAAAGAACAGGCCTCTGAAAAGCAGTGATGCCCTGATGGCTTCCTGGGTCTCCGTTCTAGATCCTTCTGAGACCTGCTTCTCCTTCCTGCCCGGAGTCCCAGGCATCCCACCACCCTTTTTCTCTTCTTCCTCAATTAGTGTATTCATTTCCCTTTGCAATGGTAGCAAATTACCACTAATTTAGCGACTCAAAACAACATAAAAGTCCAAAGTCAGTCTTCCTGGGCTGCTCCCAGAAGCTGTGAGGGGCCCATTGCCTCCCTTTCCAGCCTCCAGCGGCTGCCTGCAAACCCCACCACCAGCTTGCATCTGGAACGCAGAACCTACGAGCAGATTTGTCGACCACACATCACTGCATTGAGCCGACTGTTCTTGTCGCAGGGGCCTGTCGTGTGCCCTGTGGGCGCCACTGGCTATTGTTAGAAACAAGACCTCCCACGCAGTTATGACAACCAAATGTGTCCCCAGGGCTGAGAAGCACAGGTCATAGGGAGCGGAGGCTGCTCAGCACGTTGAGCAAAGGCCTGGGGTTCCGGGCGGAGCTCTAGAAGCACAGAGGAGGAGAGAGAGCCCGGGAAGAAGTAGAGCAAGAAAGCTGTAGGCAAAGACTTTAGCAACCAGGCAGAACAAGGATGACTGTGTCAAACAGCAGCACATCAGTAGATAAAGGCCACCCTGTTCCCCCTAAGACCCACACACAAGTGCCAACCTGCAACCACTTGCATCGTGGTTTTGAAACTGCCCCACCATCCTACCTGCGTGGGCTTTGGATGCATGATGCATCCTCTGAAATCCTTGTGTGGTAGAAAACTCCCCCTCCCAAGAGGTGAGCGGGGTCAGGTTCCCTGTTGGGCCTGGACTCCTGTCCTGTCCGGCTCCAGCTGTGGATCCCCCATAATCCCAGGACATTGAGAGACCAGGGGCAGGGACCGCTCCTCATGGCCTGCTCTCTCCTTGTACAGTGTATGTTCACCCTTACTAAATCTGCTCTTGCTGCTCAGAGTGTCCTCCTCAGTTCTTTGCTCCAGACCCCAAGAACCTGGAAAACACTCCCCTGAAACCCATCTAATAACAAGGGCCACCAAATCCTACCCTGAGGCAGAACTGGTGCTGGCATTGCCAGGTCCTAGGTCGCCACCATAGTCACCAGGGTGCTGGAAGGGGTCGGGAGCAGTCGGGTGGGTGGGCAACTGCCCAGCCGTGGGAGTGGTCACACTCAGGGGCTCTGGGGACCCTTAGGATTCCCCCAACCCCTGGAGGGCTGAAGCCTCGCTGCTGAGCCTTGGCGGTCCCTGTGGCTGCTTTTGAAGCTGAGCTCCCCATCCGGCCTTCTGCCCCTGTCCTTTAAGCTAGGGCAGGCTCCTGCCGGCCAGGCAAACTGCAGCAGCAACGGTCTGTGAGGACACCCAGCTGGCTGGAGCCATCACGGGAGCGACTCGGAGGTCCCAGCTCTGGGTGTGTGCCCAGCTCTGGGGACGGACAGGATCCTGAGCGTGTGACCGGAAGAGCCTTGACTCAGCCCGCAGATGTCATCGTTTGTCTCCAGCTTCGTCACAGCAGCTGATGTGCACTGAACACTCCCTGGCTCGAGCCGCGCTCTCCGCACGTAAGCAGCCTTTGTCTGGAGAATAATGGGCCCTGAAGCGGTGTCTGAGCATCTCCAAGGTCATGCCTGGCTCACCATGATCTGCGGTAAAAGGCAGAACTTGACCCTGACTCCAAGACTACTGAGGAGCGGGGAGAAATAAGAGCCCCATCTGGGGTGCTCTGTCAAGAGGCGGCCCTCAGAGAAACAGGCGAAAGGGGCTGAAAATAGAACCAAAGTGCCGCATAATTTCCATGCAATTTCCCCTCTGGTTTGCATGTTTAGTGCCCCAGCCACTGAGTGTAAGAGGATAAAATCAAATGCATGAATGAATTCGTGTCCCCTCCCTACTGTGGACAGGCTCAATCCTTAGGCTTATTTCTGACCCCCCCCCCCCCCGAACATGCACATGTGCACACAAACGCGTGCAGGATGGGGAGGTCTTTTCAAAAGCCTTTTCCCAGAACGCAGCACAGGGTGGTGGCACAGGCAATACGGACCAAGTCTACCGCGGTCCCTTGCCTCGTGGGCTCACATGCTATGGCCCTGGGGCTCCAGGTTAATATTTACGGACGACGAGGCTGAGGAAGACGCCGTGAGGAGCTTAGTGAAGCAGCCAGTGCAAACCCTGGCACTATCGGAGGGGCCCTTCCCTGTCTGGGTCCCGCTTCCTGACTCGGAGGGCATGGTCTCTGCCCCATCTGGACCAGCACCACCTGTTTTAGAAGCCACAGCGATCCTCCCAGGAAAGTGCAGAGCCCATTGGGGGAACTTTGCTGAGGCCCCTGGGAAATTTCCACTGGGCCTGGCCAAGGGCAGTAACACCTGCTCTGCCTGCTCAGCATCTGCAGTTGCAGGGACCTCTACGGGACGCTGGGATTTTAGATGGATTTGAGCTGTCTTTTTTTTTTTCCTTTTTGAGACAGGGTCTCACTATGTAGTTGAGACTGACCTGGAACTCACTGTGTAGCCCAGGCTGGTCTCGAACGTGCAGTGATCCTCCTGCCTCAGCCTCCAAGTGCTGGGATTACAGGTGTGCACCACCACGCCCGGCTATTGAGCTGTCTTTCATTAAGATCATACACATCACAATTTCTGCTATGTTTGCAAAGGTCAGAGCACCAGTCTGGGAGCTGGGAGCCAGAGGCCAACCGCAGTTCAAAAGCCCTGGACTCGCTGTGTTCCCTGGGCCAGTGTCTTACTTGGCCTGTCTGTTTCTTCTCCCCAGGCAGAAGGTGTTGGATTAGATCAGTGATCCTCAACTAGGAGCACTTCTGCCCCACCCAGGGGACATGCAGCATTGTCTGGAAGTGTGTTGGAAGCCACAACCAGAGGTCCTCCTGGCTAAACATCCTACACCGCACGGAACAGAGCCAAGACAGCGATCCTGCCCAACATGTCAGCAGGCCTGCAGTTGAGAAGCCCTGGGGGGAAACTCAGGCCCATCTCAAGTTGAAGGCACCAAGATCACTGCCTGCCCTCAATGGGTAGGACTGGGAAAAGTCTTCCTGCCACTGTCCCCGCTGCCTTCCTGGGTGATCCAGTGAGATTTAATGGGATTCCCTCAGAAGCCTCCTCTGAAAGCCTGCAGAGCGAGTGAGGAGCTTCTGGCCAAGCCTCAGGCACAGTCTGGTGAGCACTGGGAAATCAGGGGGTCAGGATGTAGTAGGAAGGGCACCCCGTGGTGCACGAGTCCTGGCCCTGCCCTCTTTCCACCATCCACCTTGTTTCCGAAGAGCCCCAGTCAGCTGGGTCACCTGAGAACAGGTAGGTGCTCCAACCAGCTAAAACTGTGATGCCCCTTTCAACTGAGAGGTGTTGTGGCAGTTAAGGTAGATTGCCTACCTGATTGACTTTGGGAGTCACCCAGGGAATTAGTGACGCACACTTCTGGGTGCATCTGGATGGGTCACAGAGGCATGACCTCAGACTTCCTTTCCGGCCCTGTTCCCCTGCTCTGCTTCCCAGCTGCCAAGAACTAAGCAGCTTTGTTCACCAGGCCCTTCTGCCAGGAAGTCTCTGCCTTGGAGCCAGCTTGCCATGGAGTGAATCCTCTGAAACCGTAAACCAAATCAAGCCTCTCCTCCTTTATGCTACGGGTGTCAAGTTATGTTATTTGTGTCCGAGTAATGGGAAAGTTGACTGAGAAAGGGATTGACTATATATTTTAAGAGACAGAGAAATCAATATTCTTGTTTTCTTTGAATATAAACCTGTTTGCCTCTTTGTTTGTTTTTTTTTTAATTTTTCATTTTCTGCTTGCCTCTCAGACCCTGGAAAGGAAGCACCCATCCCTCCAGAGACGGCCTTGACCACGCACACGTGCCGCGGAGCTGGGCCCGTGCTCCTGAAGAACAGTCAGCAACACACTCCTCACTTCTCTCTAGTTTGCATTTTTTCTTGTGATTTTCCAAACCACACAGTTCTTGGGCAGCACATTGAAGTGTTTAAAAATGAGGCAATAAAAATAAATCACTTGTTCTCGGAAGACAGCCGGCTCATTCCTTGGCAGCCCATCTCAGCTGACTAGATGCTGACACAGGGGTGCTGACGCCAGGGCCTGCGGGGCACTGGCCGCCTGGCCCACAGACAGTGCCCTGAAAAGGACCTCATCACGTCCATACAAGGACGGCAGGGCGCCATCTACTGCAGGGGGCCGAAACCGCTTCCCCCTGGAGTTGTGCGGGTGTCTCAAGGGAGCACCTGAGCTCACCGGCGTTAGCTCTGCAATCTGTCTCTGTAATATTTCAACATGCTTTCTAATCGTGTAATTGTCCACAGGCAGCTGCCCAGTAGGCCTGGCCCCCGCTGGGGCCCGTTGGCATCTGCCTCTCCATCCATACCCTTCCTACCCAGGATCCAGGATCAGTCCCCAAAGGATTTCTCAAGGGGGTTACAAAGAGCAGGAAGTGAGCTTTGTCACGGCCACTAAATCCAGGAAGCCACTTAGGATTAATTGAAGTCTTTACCTCTTTCTTACACAGCTCAGCATCACACACATCAGAGATTTAAATGCACAACAATAAAATGAAGGCTAATTTAACACAAAAGCCTTTCTAACAAGAAGAAAGCCCAGGGCCTGATGTGGAGGTGTGTGCCTACAATCCCAGTACTTAAGGAGCTTGAGGTAGGAGGACTGAAAATCTGAGCCCAGCCTGGGCAGTGGAGCAGCTTAGGGAGACCCTGTCTCAAAATTAAAAAGGGCTGGGGATGTAGATCAGTGGGAAGGCCCTGGGTTAATCCTCAGGAAAGAGTAAAAGCCAGAAGCTGTTAAGGGAAAGATGATAAATCTGACCTAATAAAGATTAAATACTCCTTCAAGTATGTATGGGAGTGGAAGTGAGGTCAAAGCCAAATGGCAAAGAAGAGACAGCTGCTCCCCGTCTTGTCCAAGTTCAGGCCAAGGAAACAATGTCTTCGCCAAGCACTGCAAGGCCTCTCTCTGCCGTGTACCTCTGGCCTCGTCCCTGTGTCTGTGGGGATGAGCGGTCTTTCAGCGGTGAGGGGAGCCTGACTTCTCCGAGGCATCATCCGCATAGCTCTGCCTCTCCTGGGCTAAACCCAGGGCCAGCCAAGCCTCGATGGGGCAGTGGTTGCTGCTGTACACGGGGACTCATGCAGGTCCAGGCTCGCGCACATGCCAGCCGCTAAGGGCCTCTGCCACACCGGCTCGTTTGCGGCTCCCTCGGGAGGTACGGGGCTGGCATGGCTGGCGAATGGTACATTTCTCTGCTCATTTGCCCCACCATACTGACCTTTTTTTTTAGGACCGGAGATTGAACTCAGAGAACACTGAGCTACACCCATTGCCCTTTTTTATTTCTTTGAGACAGGGTCTCACTAAGTTGCCCAGGCTGGCCTTGACCTTGTGAGCCTCTTGCCTCAGCTTCCTGGGTAGTTGGGATTTTATAGGCAGGCACCACTGCCCTGGGCTGCGTGTTGCATCTCGGACGCACTAGACACACACCTGTCCCGTGGTCTTTGCGTTCGCTGTCCTGTCTCTCCTACCCCGCCTCCCTGTCCTTTTCAGGGAAATCTGTGACGCTGGCTCCACGGCCTCCTCCTGAGGTCTTTCCTGGTGCTGTGTCCCTCTCCTCTCCCCGCAGCCCCCACTACCGTTGGAGGAGGACACTGCTCGCAGGCAATCAGAAAGAACTCGTGTCAGGGGCTCGAAGTACGGGTCCTGATCAGAGGAGGCTGTGCAGTTCGGAAGGAGCACTGGTCTGCAGCCTGGGCTCACAGGAGATGCCACGAGGGCTCTGGGTCTGCGAGGAGGGGCCAGCCTGAGGGTGCTCCTACCCCCGGGGCACAGTGGGCCAGCCTTCAGAACGCCTATGGTGGCTGGCAGACGAGCCTCCTGAGGAGAGAGGCTGGGGTCTGGGCAGCTGGCCCTGGAGTCCACCGCCTGTCCCCATCCTCTTCAGGGTCCCCCCCCGACTCCCGGGCCCGGCACACAGAGAAGCAGGTGCACTGGGGACACGGAGATGACAGCAACAGCTGCCACACGCAGCGTGGTGACCTAGATTGTCCTGCCTATCTCTCAGAGCGGCATGCAGGCCCCAGAGGGCAAAGTGGCCCTTTCCGACTGTGTTCTGTGCCCCCATCTGGGTCCCACCCCGCACAGAGCAGAGACTCAATAGACACCCACAGGACAAGTGAGGAACGGGGTGAAGGGGTAAATATTTACACTCTAGGAGGCCAAGGGGCACTTTCCTGGGTAAGTGCAGCTCCAGTCGGGAAGAAAAGGGGAGAACTGAACATAGGAGGGGTCACACCGAGGGCCAACAGAGACCCCTGATTGCCACACAGAAGGACCCCTGAGCCCCACGAGGAAGAGAGAGCAAGGACAGGTCGGGCGCCCAGAACAGAGACCTCATTCTACACAAACACGGGTTTCATGACTGTGACCCTCGTCGCCTCTGGGGACTGGGGCGGGTGTGGTGGGAGAAGGGGAAGAGGTGCCGATTGCTGCTTCACCCCGTTCTGTTGTCGGAGGTGATCATGAGCCTATGTTTTCCTAGGAGAACTAGTTATAAAGAAAAAAGAGGTGGGGAGGGGAGGAGCAGACGTGACTCGCGTTCCTGGAGAGGAAAGGGAGGATATCACTCTGAGGCCTCCACTCTGAGCTCACACGTGCAGCCAAGGAACGCAGCCTGTAATCGGCCCGCATGCTGTACCACCGACATGTAAGAGGCCCCGTGTCTGCAGCTCCGACCCACCCTGGTAGATAGCAGTCCGGAAAACAGGCACAGACTTTTCCCCATGGTTATCGCGTCACCGATACTACGGAGCGACTGTCCGCACGGCGTAGCCATTGTGTTAGGTATTGCAGTGCTCTGGCGGTGATTTAAAGCACTGGAGGGGGCCGGGGATTTAGCTCAGCGGTTCTGCCTCCTGCCTTGCAAGTGCAAGGACCTGAGTTCGATCCCTGGTACCCTCCCCGCAAAAAAGAAAAAATAAAGTATTGGAGGGACGTGCACATTTGTGAGCAAATACTGCGGCTTCCCCCAGATTCGTCTTGCTGTGCTATCCAGGATGGGCTTCGGCTCACAGGCTCCCAGGATTCTCCCGCCCCAGCCTCCCCTGTGCTGGGCTACAGAGGGTGCCACCTGGCTTGTGCCACTGAATGTAGAGGACTCGGGCATGTGTGGGTTTCAATGTCCGCAGCCGTCCTGGAACCGGTCCCCAAGGATACGGTGAGACAACTGTACCACGAGCATCTGAGAATTTTCAGAAGGGGACATAAAGAAGTTACATCCCTAGCCTCTCAGCTGAGATTCACAAGGAGTTTATCTTTCCCGTCCTAAAACCCAACGTGTCCCAAAGCAAATATCTCACAAAGGACTTGCTTTCCAGGATACAGAAAGAACTCTCAGTGTGACAGGAAATATCTAGTTAGGAAATGGGCACAGATATGAATCAATATTTCACCAAAAAGAATCTACAGATGGTAAAAAGGAAAAAGATATATATATATGAAAGAAAATATATATATGAACCGTGACAGGAATGCACACCCAGGAGAAATTCCAACACAGCCGGCAGGACAACTCAAAGGAAATGCCAGCATGGACGCGAGATCCGGGACTGCTGCCACTGTGGCTGGGGCTGTGACTTCTCATGCCGTTCAACACGCAGCGAAGTACCAGGTGGCCCAGCACTGGCTGGGAGTTTACAGTCCCACGAGGGCTTACATCCAGGTAGAGAGAGAGAGAGAGAGAGAGAGGAAGAAGGA